TCTATTTAAGACCATCTTCATGGACATTTTCATTTAAACATAATTAACATTATAACTTATAACAATTTAACACAAAAGACGATGGACATAAGAGCCCAACTAATTCAGACAGATAACTGAAATTTTATACAGATCAGCGTTCTGTTTAAATATGATCACGTAGTCGTCACGTGGGCGATGTTGTTAAGACGTATTCGAAGATGATTTCCAAAAAATTTTCTACGTGATCATATTTAAACAGAACGCTGTTTTTTAGAACTGTTCCATCGTTTTTAAAATCACTTTTGGATTTGCATTGTAACGGGAAAGACTTTCAAGCTTGTTGAAGATATAAGAACCAATTGATCACTACGTATTCCAACATCAACGGAAGAGATTTCTTTAATTGTTTATAAAAATTTTTCATTCGACTTTTTGATATTTTTTAATTTTTGGAAATCATCTTCGAATACGTAATGTAATGTTCCACTCACTCTACTGTCTATTGTGGACTGACTATATCAGTAAATATATATAGTGTGCACAGTATATATCTGGTGGACTCATTTTGGCAATTAGTTGGAGATCCGTCTCCACCTAAGCTAGTCGAAATCTCTGCTTTCAAGTAGAGAGGAACCCAGACGAGACTATGGATGTAGACAGCTATCCGACCCTCTTTATTTGTGGGGTCTACGGGGAGTTTTGCCCAAGCCTACGGGCTCGGTTTTTCCCCGCATTAAAAAAAAGCCCTGTGCCATTTCCTGCTTTGCGGAGAGTTAAGGTAAATAAACCTTGCTTTGAGAATTAGCGGGAGATTCGTCTCCATCTGTGTTGGGCAAGCTCTCTGCCTTCTGGCTAAGAGGATCCCCAGACGAAGCTATGTCGAATGGCAAAGCCTCGTCTCGGGAAACAGGTACCGGATCCTGTTTTATACGGGGAATATTTGCCCTACGGGCTCGGATACCCCTACGTTAAATTAAGCATTGTGCCACATCTGACTGCTTAGGGCTGTTGGCAAATATCCTTGCTCCGTCCCCGTATTTTTTTCAGGGTCTATTGGGTATTTTTGCCCGAGTCAACGGGTTCGGTTTTCACCCCGCATTAAAAACGGCCTGGTGCCACATCCTGCCTCGCGTGGTGGTAAGGTAAATATCCTTTCTTCGGCAATTAGTTGGAGATTCGTCTCCAGCTGTGCTGGTCGAACTCTCTGCATTCGGGAGGAACCCAGACCATGCTATGCCGAAGGGCAGAGTCTCGTCAGGGGATGTAGACAGCTACCCGACCCTCTTTATTTGTGGGGTCTACGGGAAGTTTTGCCTAAGCCTACGGGCTCGGTTTTTCCCCGCATTAAAAAAAAGCCCTGTTCCATTTCCTGCTTTGCGGAGAGTTAAGGTAAATAAACCTTGCTTCGAGAATTAGCGGGAGATTCCTCTCCATCTGTGTTGGGCAAGTTCTCTGCCTTCTGGCTAAGAGGATCCCCAGACGAAGCTATGTCGAATGGCAGAGCCTCGTCTCGGGAAACAGGTACCCGATCCTGTTTTATACAGGGAATATTTGGCCAAACATATGTGCTCGGATACCCCACATTAAATTCGGCTTTGTACCACATCTGACCGCGTGAAGCGGTTGATAGATAACCGATTCCCTGTCTTTCAGTAGTGTATTCTCTTTTACAATAAACTGCTCTTTCTTTCATCTATGCTCATATTGCTGTTCCTTTCACTCGAGTACCATCTTTGTCTATTTGTAACTTCTTTAAGGTTACAGCACATTTAGAACTTTAGTGCAGCATTATAATTTGAATTGTTTCAGCTATAAATACTTACACTGGTAGTTACCATACCGAGGCAGTTGTTAGCCAATCACGACACATAGCGCATGCGAACTAGCCTACTTACCAGTGCAGATACACCACAGGATTTAAGGCTACCTTTTATAACTGTTGTATTAGACGACCCTCTATTTTTGGTGGTAATTTTTAAGATTTAAAGGTCGCCTGATACGAGGAAATACGATATATATATATATATATATATATATATATATATATATATATATATATATACCTAAACGTGTTGTATTTAGCCATACACAAGTAACAATACTACAGAATGGCCAACATGAAATCAGATAAGATTTTCATTATCACACACGTGTACGCACACAAGTCTATATACGCACCCGATTATACACACAACAAGACGGTAATTACGTGATTGTATCAATTAATCGAGTCGCTGACCATCGGTCCGTTGTCTATCGTCAGCCATCTTGAATCCATCACGATGTATTTTAATTGTGCTGTGATTGTCTCATCTCATTCATGAATGATGGAACTACCAGGAGGAGGAGGACACAGATCTAAAACTACCTAAGCAATCATATATATATATATATATATATATATATATATATATATATATATATATATATATATATGACACACACACACACATATATATATATATGTGTGTGTATGTTTTAAAAGGAAAAACACAGCATATATACCACAAAAACAGCA